AAACTGGAGTACCCGGAGGAAACCCACGCAGGCACAGGGAGAACATGCAAACTCCAGGCAGGTGGTGCCGTGGTTGGGATTCGAACCAATGACCCCAGTACTGCCAGGCGGAAGTGCTAACCATTTAGCCGCCGTGCTGCCCATATGATATAATATGTATTTTATTGCGAAAATGGCATACACATATACTCCTGCGCTTGGTGATGGACTCCACAGAGGCTACAACCCCATATCAAATGCCTTGAAGAGTGTACGCCTTGCTGCCCTCAATAGACCAGAGAAGTCCAAAAGTACTGCAACCTTTAAAAAAACAGTTATTGTTCTAAAAAAAAAAGTGGTAATATACTCACAAAAAGGACAATACTGGCTCTGAGGAAGAGGCAAGTCCTCAAAACGCGTTAGCCTGTTGGAGGTCCAGGATTCCCATTACGGATATCACCCAGTGCAGACTGGACATTGCTGGTCTTTACATTTATTTATTTATTGCATGATGTGCCTTTGACAATATTGTCCTTTGTGAGTATATTCCTACTTCTGTTATAACAAGAAATGTTTTTTTTTTTTTTTTTTAAAGTAATGCACTAGGCCTGTGCGCCCTGTTTGTTTTCTTTGCATGTACTATTATTTATATGATATAATATGTATGTTTACTTAAAGGATATAATAGATATCTTTACTTATATAATATGTATCATTATGTATATGATATAATATGTAAAGTAAAGGTACATATTATATCCTAGAAGTAAACATACATATTATATCATGTAAATAATAATACATTTTATCTCATATAAATAATGGTAGATAATATATAAGATACATATTATATCACGCAAGAAAAGAGACTTAGTACATAAATAAAAAAATCATACTATATCATATAAAGATACATATTATATAAGATACATATTATATCATAAAGGATAAAAAAAATATATATATATGTATCCATTATTTATGTGCTGAAATATGTATCTTTACTTAAAGGATATAATACATATATTTACTTACATAATACGGATCATTATTTATATGATTTTTTATTTATGTACTAATTCTCTTTTCTTGTGTGATATAAGTAATAGTACGTAATATACAAGATACATATTATATCACACAAGAAGAGAATTAGTACATAAATAAAAAAAACATATTATATTATATCATATAAATAAAGATACATGTTATATTAGTAAAGATATGCATTATATCCGTTAAGTAAAGATACATATTATAGCACATAAATAATGATACATATTATATATCTTTACTTAGAGGCTATAATACGTATCTTTACTTATATAACATGTATCTTTATTTAAATGATATATGATTTTTTTATTTATGTACTAAGTCTCTTTTCTTGCGTGATATAATATGTATCTTATATATTATGTACCATTACTTATATGAGATAAAATGTATTATTTATATGATATAATACATATTACTTTTATAGGATATAATATGCATCTTTACTTACATATTATATCATATAAATAATGATACATATTATATAAGTAAAGATACGAATTATATCATATCAATAATTATATACAGATTATATATCTTTACTTTATATGATAAAATATCTATCTTTAATTAAAAGACTATAATACGTATCTTTTTATATATAATATATGATATGTTTTATTTATATGATATGTATCTTTATTTATATATATGATATTTAGTATGATGATTTTTTTATTTGTGTACCAAGTCTCTTTTCTTGCATGATATGATATTTTTCTTATAGAATATGTACCATTATTTATATGATATAAAAAGTTATTATTATTTATATTACATAATCTGTACCTTTACTTATATAATATGTATCTTTACTTATATAATATGTATCTTTACTTATAGGATATAAAACATATCAATGTACCATTGTTTATATGATATAACATGTATCTTTATTTATGTACTACATTTCTTTTTGTGTGTGATGTAATATGTATCTTATAGAATATGTATAATTATTTATATGATATATTATTATTTGTATAATATTTATATGATATAATCATTAAAGATACATATTATAAAACAATATTATAGAAGCTACATATTTTATAAACCAAGAAAAGAAACAGAGTATATAATATACATATTATATCATATAAACAATGGTACATATTACATAGGTAAAGATATGTTTTATATCCTATAAGTAAAGAAACGTATTATATAAGTAAAGATACAGATTATATCATACAAATAATACATTTTATAAAATATAAATAATGGTACATGTTATATAAAATACATATCATATCATGCAAGAAAAGAGACTTAGTACATAAATAAAAAAAAAAAATCATACTATAGCATATATATATATATAAAGATACATATTATATACGTAAAGATATGCATTATAACCTAGAATCTCCTAGATTGTAAGCTCGAAAGAGCAGGTCCTCGAACCCCTCGTGTAGTATATTGTTACTGTCTTGTCTCATGTTATGTCCCCCTTGCTACTGTACAGTGCTGAGCAAACCCTTTGGCGCTATATAAATACTGTATAATAACATAATAATTATAACCTATAAGTAAAGATACAGATATCATATAAATAACAATACATTTTATATCATATAAATAATATATCATATAAATAATGGTACATATTATATAGGTAAAGATATGTTTTATATATCCTATAAGTAAAGATACATATTATATAAGTAAAGATACAGATCATATAAATAATAAAGCATTTGATATCATATAAATAATGGTACATATGATATAAGATACATATAATAAAACTACGTATTATAGAAGCTACATATTATTATATAACCCAAGAAAAGAAAAAGTATCTAAGCAAATATAAACACAATATCATATAAATAATGATAGATATTATATAATGTCTCTTTACTTCAATATTATAAAATAAATTAATAAAAACAAAAAATTAAATAAAAAGTAACAAATGTGTCAGAGCGTCGCTTATCAGCGCCAATCTCCGCCGCCCCCCCCCCCCTCCGCTGCATCGCCGCACGAGTCCTGAGCTCGCCGCACTCAAACTGCCACATCCAGAACTCTGTCTCCGTGGCAACTGGTTACTCTCCCTATCAACTGTGAGAGGGTCGTCATGGAAACACATATACAAGACAAATTCCTCACCACAGCCTAGGACCAGATGGCAGAGAATACGGAAACTCACGGGCAAAAGGGACATTGGGAGGAAGGAAGGGGGAGGGGACGCCCGGTGACAGGTCAGATCCGGGACCATGGACAAACCCTTAAAATGTGTAATAAACTAGAATATTTCTGGGTAGCTCCGCCTCTCCAGATAGGTTAAGTATAGATTAATGGCCAAGGTTAAGTTGCCTAAGCGGTTGTGGTCATTTCATTTTTTTCATAAATCCCTCGGTTTCACCCTCCATCCTTTGTTCCATCTCCGAGCTGCTGATCCTCTCCAACCACTTTGAACCACTTCCAGTCTATATGCGCTCGCTCCAGCGCCAGCTGCCCATCACTGCTCCAGACTGGCTTTGTGATGGTGACAACAGTGGGCTGTGTTTCTGAAATGCAGGTTGGCATGGCCACTTGGGAGTCTCCACCAGAAGTTCCTCTGACAACGTAGAGGAACAATTGAGAGAAAGAGAGATGAGGTTGTCACTCGGTAAAAGGAAGTGCCTGAACAAGGAAATTTATGGCAGGATCACCGGGGATTAATTTAATTAAAGGACCAGACTATAGAAACCTAGAAAATAAATTTTTGAAATGACATTAAAGTGTTACTAAACCCACAACAGTCCAATCAGTCTGTAGATGCAGTAAAGCATGCTTGTTATACTCACTGTGGAACCTAAGGGGTTAATCCTCTGCAATGTGTAAAAAGGCTGTTTGATCCTGTCTTCTCTGATCCTCCCCTTCTTATACTGTCCCCAGTCCTTCTGCCCTAGTACAGAGCAGCAGTGGCAAGTCTGCACATGCTCTGTTTGGTGTGTATTGCTGGATAAGGTGCATGTGATTGGCAAAGGGTCAATCAGCACTGTCCAGGCAGAGGGTCAGGGGTTATGCAGCCTCATGTGAGAGGAGAATGAAAACGTCTCCTACCAGCTTTAACCAGTGCTCTGCTGGACACTGATAGAAGTCACAAGACTGTTATATACTACTGATGAGAAAAGGTACTTAGCAGTTTATATTTACTAAACTGTGGAACCTAAGGGGTTAATCCTCTGTGTAAAACCGCTGTTTGATCCTGTCTTCTCTGATCCTCCCATTCTTCTACTGTCCCCAATCCATCTCCTGATAGCACAGAACGGTAGAATAATTCTGCACATGCTCAGTTTGGTGTTTAGTGAGTTTTTTTTTTTTTTTGGGAGGATGCATGTGATCAGCACAGAGCCAATCAGCACTGTCCAAATAGAAGGTCAGGAGTCATGCAACCTCATAGGACAGTCAGAGGGGAATGAAAACTCCTCCTACAAGTTTTAACCAGTGCTCAGCTGCACACTGATAGAAGTTACAAGACTGCTATATAATGCTGATGAGAAAAGGTATTTAGCAGTTTATATTTCATAAAATAATTGCATTTCCATGTTCTGTGTACTGTGGGAGACCAGATATAGCAAATGCAGGGTCCGGGGAGCGGGGATATAGCGAATGCGGGGTCCGGGGAGGGTCCGGGGTCCGGGGAGCGGGGATGCGGGGCGGGGATATAGCGAATGCGGGGTCCGGGGAGCGGGGATATAGCGAATGCGGGGTCCGGGGAGCGGGGGATATAGCGAATGCGGGGTCCGGGGAGAGGGGATATAGCGGATGCGGGGTCCGGGGAGAGGGGATATAGCGGATGCGGGGTCCGGGGAGAGCGGATATAGCGAATGCGGGGTCCGGGGAGAGCGGATATAGCGAATGCGGGGTCCGGGGAGAGCGGATATAGCGAATGCGGGGTCCGGGGAGAGCGGATATAGCGAATGCGGGGTCCGGGGAGAGCGGATATAGCGAATGCGGGGTCCGGGGAGAGCGGATATAGCGAATGCGGGGTCCGGGGAGAGCGGATATAGCGAATGCGGGGTCCGGGGAGAGAGCGGATATAGCGAATGTGCGGGGTCCGGGGAGAGCGGATATAGCGAATGCGGGGTCCGGGGAGAGCGGATATAGCGAATGCGGGGTCCGGGGAGAGCGGATATAGCGAATGCGGGGTCCGGGGAGAGCGGATATAGCGAATGCGGGGTCCGGGGAGAGCGGATATAGCGAATGCGGGGTCCGGGGAGAGCGGATATAGCGAATGCGGGGTCCGGGGAGAGCGGATATAGCGAATGCGGGGTCCGGGGAGAGCGGATATAGCGAATGCGGGGTCCGGGGAGAGCGGATATAGCGAATGCGGGGTCCGGGGAGAGCGGATATAGCGAATGCGGGGTCCGGGGAGAGCGGATATAGCGAATGCGGGGTCCGGGGAGAGCGGATATAGCGAATGCGGGGTCCGGGGAGAGCGGATATAGCGAATGCGGGGTCCGGGGAGAGCGGATACAGCGAATGCGGGGTCCGGGGAGAGCGGATACAGCGAATGCGGGGTCCGGGGAGAGCGGATACAGCGAATGCGGGGTCCGGGGAGAGCGGATACAGCGAATGCGGGGTCCGGGGAGAGCGGATACAGCGAATGCGGGGTCCGGGGAGAGCGGATACAGCGAATGTGGGGTCCGGGGAAAGCGGATGCGGGGTCCGGGGAAAGCGGATATAGTGAATGCGGGGTCTGGGGTTTAGTAACACTTTAACATACAGTTAGGTCCATATATATTTGGACACAGGCACAATTTCTAGTTATTTTTAAGGTATTTACCCAGACATATTCAAGCTATAGTTCTATAATGGATATGGGCTGAAAGTGCGCACTCTCTGGTGTAATTTGAGGGTATGTACATCCAAATTGGAGGAAGGGTTTAGAAATTGCAGCTCTTAAGAGTAGCCATCTCCCCTTTTTCAAGGGACCAAAAGTAATTGGACAATTGAATCAAAAGCTGTTTCATGGCCAGGTGTGGGCTACTCTTACATTATTTCTTCATCAGTTAAGCAGGTAGAAGGTCTGGAGTTGATTCTAAGTGTGGTATTGGCATTTGGAATCTATTGCTGTGAACCTTCATCATGTGTTCAAAGGATTTGTCCATGCAAGTGAAACAGGCCATTGTAAGGCTTCAAAAACTAAACCAATCCATCAGAGAGATGGCAGCAACATTAGGAGCGGCCAAATCAACAGTTTGGTAAATTCTGAGGTAAGAGGAACGCACTGGTGAGCTCAGCAACATAAAAAGACATGGAAGTCCACGGAAGACAACAGTGGTGGATGATCGCAGGATCCTCTCTATGGTACATAAAAACCCAATCACAACATCCAGACAAGTGAAGGACACTCTCCAGGAGGTGGGAGTATCATTGTCAAAGTCTACAATCAAGAGAAGACTTCACGAGAGCAAATACAGAGGGTTCACCACAAGGTACAAACCATTCATAAGCCTGAAGACTAGAAAAGCCAGATTAGACTTTGCCAAAAAACATCTAAAAAAGCCAGACCAGTTCTGGAAAAGCATTCTTTGGATGGATGAAACTAAGATGAATCTGTACCAGAATGACGGGAAGAAAAAAGTGTGGAGAAGACTTGGAACAGCTCATGATCCAAAGCACACAGCGTCATCTGTAAAACATGGTGGAGGCAGTGTGATGGCATGAGCGGAGGCAGTGTGATGGCATGAGCGGAGGCAGTGTGATGGCATGGGCATGCATGGCTTCCAGTGGCACTGGGTCATTGGTGGTTATTGATGATGTGACAGAAGACAGAAGCAGCCGGATGAATTCTGCAGTGTTTACAGATATACTGTCAGCCCAGATTCAGCCAAATGCAGCAAAGTTGATTAGATGGCACCACAGTACAGATGGACAAGGATCTAAAACACACTGCAAAAGCAACCAAAGCAAAAAAGCAAATATTCTGTAATGGCCGAGTCAATCACCTGATCTCAACCCCATTGAGCATGCATTTCACTTGCTGAAGGCAAAACTAAAAAGGCAGAAAGACCCACAAAGAACAACTGAAGAGCTGAGCTGCGGTTTAGAGCCTAGCAAAGCATCAGAAAGGAGGAAACCCAGTCTTTGGTCATGTCCATGGGTTCCACTTTCAGGACTTCAGGCTTTGGTAAAAAGCATCAGAAAGGAGGAGGAAACCCAGTCTTTGGTCATGTCCATGGGTTCCAGACTTCAGGCAAAGCATCAGAAAGGAGGAAACCCAGTCTTTGGTCCATGTCCTTGGGTTCCATGGGTTTCCAGACTTCAGGCAGTAATTGCCAGTAAAGGATTCCCAACAAAATATTAAAAATGAACATTTTATTTATGATTATATTAATTTGTCCAATTATATTTGAGCGTCTGAAAATGGAGGGACTGTGTATACAAATGGTTGCAATTCCTAACATTTGTACTTGAAATTTATGTTCAACCCCTTGAATTAAAGATGAAAGTCTGCACTTCACATTCATTTGGATTGTTTTGTTTTAATTTATTCTGGCAGCATACAGAGCCAAAAGTATGAAAATTGTGTCTGTGTCCAAATATATATGGACCTAACTGTATAATGAGATATTCTAGCGAGTTGGTTTATACAAGTTCGCAGGGTACACATAGCACAATGTGCATGTGACAAAAACAGAGACAACACAAAACAATATGGAGTTACATAAATGAAAAAAACACACACGAATGGAAGGGAAGCCTGATAGAAGAGGGGGAAACCTAAAATTGTAGAAAGGAATGCTGATAAAACGGGGGGGGTCCTAAAAAAGTAGCAAGAGTTACTATTAAAAAGATGGCGATTCTGAAAAAAAAAGGGGGGGGGGGGGGGGGGAAGAGGGCTAAAATATAGGAAGAAATGCTAATGAAAAGGGGGGGGGGGGGGAATCCTAAAAAAAGTAGCAGAGAGAGATCCCAATGAAGGGGTGGGAATTCTGATAAAAGGGACAGAGCTCCTAGTAAGAAGGCAGGGATTCTGTAAGGGGGAATCTGATCAATGGAGCAGGGAGTCCTGATAATAGGTGGGAGGAGATCCTGATAAAAGAGTGATTAGTACAGTACAGAGGGGTAGGCGGGGAGGCCACAGTACGGGGGGGGGGGGGGGTAGGCGGGAGAGCACACAGTACAGGGGGGTAGGCAGGAGAGCACAGTATGGGGTTAGGCGGGACGGCACAGTACGGGGGTTAGGCGGGAGGAGGCCACAGTACGGGGGGGTAGGCGGGGAGGCCACAGTACGGGGGTTAGGGCCACAGTACGGGGGACGGCCACAGTACGGGGGTTAGGCGGGAGGCCACAGTACGGGGGGTAGGCGGGAGGCCACAGTACGGGGGGTAGGCGGGAGGCCACAGTACGGGGGTTAGGCGGGAGGGCACAGTACGGGGTTAGGCGGGAGGGCACAAGGGTAGGCGGGAGGGCCACAGTACGGGGTGGGGGGGGGGGGGGGGGAGGCCACAGTACGGGGGGTAGGGGGGAGGCCACAGTACGGGGGGTAGGCAGAAAGGCGCAGTACAGGGGGATGTCATTCCAATTACAGATTTAGCCCAGTGACAGGCTGCTGCTGTCACCACAAACCAGGTTCTGGGACACTGCCTGGGTCACAGCCATTGGGACAGCTTAGTAAAAAGCATGACTGTCCCAGATTTGGCAAGTATGATGTAATGCAGTGCCCATGCATTAAGATGGCCTTGCATGGGGGGAGGGATCCTGATAAATAAGGGGAAGCAGGGATCCTAAGCAAGTAGCAGGGAATCCTGATAAAGGGGTTAGGATCCTGGAGAAAATGGGAGGAGGGAAATCCTAAAAAAGTGGAAGGGATGTTGTTAAAAGGCAAGGGTGGGGGGGGTTGGGGTCCTAAAAAAAAAAGTAGCTCCTGATAACATGAGGATTCTGGTAATGAGAGAGAATCTGGACAGGGAGTCCTGATAAAGGGGCAGGGTGGTCTAGTAAATGGAGAAGGAACGCAGATAAGAGGATGGGTGATCCTGATAAAAGGGGGTGGGAACTTGATACACGAGCAGAGGAGCTTTATATAAAAGGGATGGGATCTGATAAAGGAGCTGGGATCCCTGATAACAGAGCAAGGAGTCCAAAAAAAAAAAAGGAAGATGGTGGAGGACCCCCGACAACCTTTTCCAAGCATTTTCTTCTCTCCATTTACAGACAGGTGTGTAACCCTCCACAAGCTGAATCGGCAGCACAGAGGTCTTTACACACGTATGAGTAATTGATGCGGCTTCTCTCTTTTCAGGTTAATCGCTTTCGTTGTACGTGCCGCCTTCCATTGGCATAGTAATTCTGGAAATGTAAAATGGCCCAACGACAAGAGCGTCCAGCTGGTGCTTATGGCAGGCAGTGCGCACCAACCAGCCCGATGGCACTGCAGCTGGTGGGGAAAGTGAGCGTGACGCAGCGATGTCCAGCAAGTGTACCTGTCACCCACATGGTTTTATATGGGGGGGGGGGGGGGGTTCTAACCTTTATTATAGATCTAGGCTTATCCAAAGTATGTTTGAATCCACTTACTGTTGGCTGACTCCCTGCCTTTCCTAGAAGTCTATTCCAAGTACTAACTATTCTTTAGAAAGTATTATTTTACTGAAAGAGTTGTTGATGGTTGGAGTAGACTTCCAGCAGAGGTAGTCGGTCAGTCACCAGTAAGTGAATTCAGACATGCTTGGGGCACACATACACATACACACAACTTGAAAAATTAGAATATCGTGCAAAAAAGTTCATTTATTTCAGTAATGCAACTTAAAAGGTGAAACTAATATATGAGATAATGAAAATTAAAATATTGTGAAAAGGTGCAATATTCTCGGCTCAAAGTGTCCCACTCTAATCAACTAATTAAGCCATAACACCTGCAAAGGGTTCCTGACCCTTTAAATGGTCTCTCAGTCTGTTCAGTAGGAATCACAATCATGGGAAAGTGCTGACCTGACAGTTGTGCAGAAAACCATCATTGACACCCTCCATAAGGAGGGAAAGCCTCAAAAGCTAATTGCAGAAGAAGTTGGATGTTCCCAAAGTGCTGTATCAAAGCACATTAATAGAAAGTTATGTGGAAGGGAAAAGTGTGGAAGAAAAAGGTGCACAAGCAGCAGGGATGACCGCAGCCTGGAGAGGATTGTCAGGAAAAGGCCATTCAAAAGTGTTGGGGACTTTCACAAGGAGTGGACTGAGTCAGTGCATCAAAAGCCACCACACACAGACGGATCCTGGACATGGACTTCAAATGTCGTATTCCTCTTGTCAAGCCGCTCCTGAACAACAAACAACGTCAGAAGCATCTTACCTGGGCTAAAGAAAAACAGACCTGGTCTGCTCAGTGGTCCGAAGTCCTCTTTTCTGATGAGAGCAACTTTTGCATCTCATTTGAAAACAAAGGACCCAGAGTATGGAGGAAGGATGGAGAGACACAGGGACCCCGAGTATGGAGGAAGAATGGAGAGGCCCGACCCCGGGTATGGAGGAAGAATGGAGAGGCCCAAGGACCCCGAGTATGGAGGAAGAATGGAGGAAGAATGGAGAGGCCCAAGGACCCAGAGTATGGAGGAAGAATGGAGAGGCCCAAGGACCCAGAGTATGGAGGAAGAATGGAGAGGCCCAAGGACCCAGAGTATGGAGGAAGAATGGAGAGGCCCAAGGACCCAGAGTATGGAGGAAGAATGGAGAGGCCCAAGAACCCAGAGTATGGAGGAAGAATGGAGAGGCCCAAGGACCCAGAGTATGGAGGAAGAATGGAGAGGCCCAAGGACCCAGAGTATGGAGGAAGAATGGAGAGGCCCAAGGACCCAGAGTATGGAGGAAGAATGGAGAGGCCCAAGGACCCAGAGTATGGAGGAAGAATGGAGAGGCCCAAGGACCCAGAGTATGGAGGAAGAATGGAGAGGCCCAAGGACCCAGAGTATGGAGGAAGAATGGAGAGGCCCAAGGACCCCGAGTATGGAGGAAGAATGGAGAGGCCCAAGGACCCCGAGTATGGAGGAAGAATGGAGAGACACACACTGCAAGATGCTTGAAGTCCAGTGTATATTATAGATAGATGGGCCCCAACCACATGTGCCTCTACAGGGTTGTACTGCATGAATCCATCATCTTATTATTGGGGTTCATCCCCCCCTTTTTTTCAATTTTTTTACCCACATTGCCTTATATAGGCCTAGGGTTTTGCTTCTCTCCAGATGGTAACTGTATTTGCCTTTATGCTTGCATGTGATATTATATACCTATGGTACAATTTTTGAAAACACCTCCTTCAGGGAGTGTAACCTATGTGGTAACTATATGTGCTTATATGCATAGTATGTGATATTATATACCCATGGTATAATTTTTTGAAAATACCTCCTACAGGGAGTGTAACCAATGTGCGGTGCTGCAAATGCTTTAGACTATGGTGGTCATAGCCTTTGCAGCACATATACCCAGACCGGCCTTGGTGTGATTTTAATGGTTTTAGGTCTGTGTGTATTGTCTCATACTGAGGTGATGGTAAACCAGGGCGATTGCCCGAGTGTCAATCATTAATGTGTAATAAAGCATAATTTTTGGACATTGTTCTGAGTATCGCATTCTGTCCATAATGTAGCCACTTTCTTGTGAAGCTATCTACAGCACCCTGCCAACCCCTTCAAACAACCATGATCTGCCTGCATTTCATAGATAAGCACAGAGACTATGAGCCATTAGTGAGGGAAACAGACGCAAGACTGGTATACTGCACTGACTGGTAAGCCCTGTAGCAAGCAGATGGCACTGCTCAAGGCTGGACAGGACACAGTCACCCCGCCGGCAAAGAAGAGGGGAGCAGCATCCCAAGTTGTACCAGAAACTAGGCAGTGTTCAGAGAGAGAGGATGGACACCACACATACCCGTCCCGAGGAGTCCTGTGAAGAAATTGTAGTGCAAATGGCCTCAGCCCCATCACTCTGGCCACGCCCTCTGTGTCTCGTCCCACCTATAGGGGGCTTGGTCATAGAGGATTCTGCGACCAAGCCCTCTATGGACGGAACGAAAAGCGTCAGTAGGCGTGGCCGGAGTAACAGCTGAGGCCATTTGCACTACAGTATCTTCACAGGACTCCTTGGAACAGGTATGACTGGTAAGCCCTGCTTCAGACAAAACCTTCAAAATCAGCTCTCATTTTAAACTGTAGTGCAAATGACCTCAGCCATCATTCTGACCACACCATCTGACGCGGCTCATCCCGCCCATAGGGGGTTTGGTCATAGAGGATCCTGTGACCAAGCCCTCTATGGGTGGGGTGAAACGCGTCAGTGGGCATCGCCGGAGCGACGGTTGAGGCCAATTGCACTACAGTGCCTTCACAGGACTCCTCGGGACGGGTATGACTGGTAAGCCCTGCTTCAGACAGACAACCTTCAAATCAGCTCTCATTATAAACAATTTCAGCAGTTGAACGGCTGCCTACATAGAAAAATATTTTTCCTGATGTCCTCAGACTGAACATGTCTCTAATTCATGCATATCACATTTCTAAAATGACCAGAACAGTAAATTTCAGTAGCAGCCTTTGTAAAAAAAAAAAAATGGATATGGTTGAATTCCTCGGCTCTGTAATGAATCGGCTGCGAAGGCCGTATAGTGACACTCAATCAGGAGAGCCGTCTGGAACGTCTCATTACAAGAAGTGTCGAGTATCGTCCCGGAAAAGGTCAACGCGACAATTCGTACAATCATCAGAATATATCAATATTCTTATTCTGGGCTGAGCAGGGCAAACTCGAGGCTCTGTCGGGGTTCATTCACAGCAAAGCACGTGCGATGTAAACGCAAATTATCGCAACACATGGCAATGAGCCACCTGCGTGCGTTGTGTTGCATTGACATTCATTCCTAAAGTGGCTGTGTCAATGCAGTAAACGTGAAAAAATGGATATATATATATATATATACATATACACATACATACACACATATATACACGGTAAGGTAAAAAAAAACCAAAATGATCGCCCCTGCGCTGAAGCGCACCACAACACACCCATGTGCTACACAGCCAATAAATGAGCAGGTCACAGTCAGCCTTGGATATAGCTCTTGGATTACCCAATAGTGAGATCTTCCCACTTTAATTCCTGCACAGAGGTCACCTGGGAGCCCTATGGGCTGTCCCTGCCTACCATTGTGTGCTCCCACCCACCTGAGAGGTCACCACCCACCTTTGTGTACTCCCACTCCCTCCTGGGCTGCCCCTGCTTACCTTTGTGTCCTTCCCCCATGGAAGACCCCCAACCACCTTTGTGTGCTCTCACCCACCATGAGTTGTTTTCACCTACGTTTCTCTCTGTCAATAGGCTGTCCCTGTCCACCTTTGTGAACACCCCCATTCAACTTGGTGTCTTTCCAAACAGGCTGTCTCTATCCATCTTTGTGCACTCCTCATGGGCTGTCCCCTATTACCTTTGTGTTTCCCCCTCATGTGGCATCCCTGAACACCTTGTGGATATCCCTTCTTGTCTTTCTGTCTTCACCAAATGGACTGTCTCCACCCACCTTCACATGCTCCAACCCCTCATGGATTTTCCCCTCCACCTTTGTGTCTTCCCCCGTGGGATGCCCATGCCTACCTTTGTGCTTCAATCCCCCTTCCCCCATGGGCAGTCTCAGCCTACCTTCCCACCTCTTCCCCCATTAGCTGTCTCCAACCACCGTGTGTGCTCCTCCCAAATGGGTTGTCTTCACCTACCTTTGTCTTCCTCCCAATCACCCCCTCCTCTCTAATATTGTGTCTCCCACTATGGGCTGTCCCTGTCAACCTTTGAAAATATCCCCACTCACCTTTGTGCCCCCCCAAATAGGTTGTCTTCACCCACCTTTGTGTGCTTCCACATCTCATGGGCTGTCCCCTTCCACCTTTGTGTTTCCCCCCATGGGTTGTCCTTGTCGCCTTGTCGTCCCTTTTGCCTTTGTGTCTTCCTCAAATGGACGGTCTCCAACCACCTTCACATGCTCCCACCCCTCATGGGCTGTTCCCTCCACCTTTGTGTCTTCCCCCCATTGGGTATCCATGCCCACCTTTGTGCTCCCACCCCCACACCCCCATGGGCTGTCCCAGGCCTATCTTTGTGCCTCTTTCCCATTAGATGTCCCCACTCACCTTGTGTGCTCCTCCCCAGTGGACTGTCTCCCCCTACCTTTGTTTTCTTCCTAATCACCACCTTTCCCACCAACACTGTGTCTCCCCCTATGGGCTGTCCCTGTCCACCTTTATGGATATGCCACTCACCTTTGTGCCCCCCCCCCCCCCCCAAATGGGTTGTCTTCCCCCACCTTTGTGCGCTTCCAACCCTCATGGGCTGTCCCCCTCCATCTTTGAGTTACCCCCCCCCAATGGGCTGTCCTTGTGACTGTCCCTGTCTATCCTTGGATATCCCCTTTTCCCTTTGTGTCTTCCCAAAATGGACAGTCTCCACCCACCTTCACATGCTCCCACTCCTCATGGCTGTCCCCTCCACCTTTGTGTCTTCCCCCATTGAATATCCATTACCACCTCTGTGCTCTCCTTCCCCCCCATGGGCTGTCCCAGCCTACTTCTGATCCTCTTCCCTCATAAGCTGTCCCCACCAAACCTGTGTGCTCCTCCCCAATGGGCTGTCTCCACCTACCTTTTTGTTCCTCCCAATCACCACCCTTCTACCCCAACCTTGTGTCTTCCCTTTTGGCTGTCCTTGTGCACCTTTGTGGAAATCCTCACTCACCTTTGTGTCTCCCCCCCATTGGGCTGCCTCCCCCCCACCTTTCAGTTCTCCCATCCCTTACGGGCTGTCCCCCTCCACCTTTGTGTCGCCCCCATTTGTCCAGATCCCTAACGAACCGGCTGCAAAGGTCATATAGTGCCAATCAGGAGAGTTACCTAGAACGTCTCTTTACAAGTGTCGAGTATCGACCCAGAAATGTCGACGCAACGTGGCTGTCTCTGCTCGCCTTTGTATCTCCCCCCCCCCCCCCATGGGACACCCCTGTCCACCTATGTGATCCCAATACCCCCCCATAATTGGGGGGGAGGGGGGGGAGTACAAAGAGGCGTGAGGAATATATATAAACTTTTTTTCATTTGTATTGTACCCCTGATGAAGGGTTGTTTAAACTCCCAAAATGTGTTGGATCTCTTCTTCTATTGGCGTGCGTTCTGCACAACTGGATTTCCCTCAAGATGCCCCTGTGGATAAGGATGCTTTAGCAGATGTGAACAGCCTCACCAACGCGATTCGGCTTAACTAATGAGATGGTGAGTCACAACAACAGACATTAATAATAGAAAATCTAGCTCTTCCTATGCATGTATCTAGAAATAAAAGCTTGACAGGAGTGTCGCACACTTATCAAAATTAAAAATTCACCATTAGATACATTTTAAGCATTGGATTCAGAGGGGGTGGGCTAAAAGCTTTTTTAGATTTTTGGTTTCAGTGTCAAGAGCCTGACTGTGGTCACCACAACAGGAAGTGAGAAAATCTCTCCAAGACATAAAAGTTCTAATCCTTTACCAGACACAATTTTTTTTTTTTTTTTTTTCAGGAGTCCCCCATTAAGCACCACCCTCATTTAGACGGCATTCACAGCCTCCTCACCTGGCTCCGGTCCTTGTCCACCTTCTTGAAACACTTATTCAAGGAGAGATTGTGCCGCACCGAGTTTTTCCAGCCGGTGGGCGCGTTGGCAAAATATGGGAAGTGCTCCAGGATCCAATTGTAAATATCCTTTACGGGGAGCCTCTTGGTGGGCGAGTCCTCGATGGCCATGAAGATGAGGCAGCTGAAGGAGTAGGGAGGTTTGCAGTTGGGGTTTTTGTTTGGCGTCATAGGGCATGTCCGACTGGGCGGGCGACGGCGGGGTGTCATCAATGTCCTGCACGGGGCTGACGCTCCGCAAGACAGAGTCCCCAAAACTTTTCAGCAGGTTTTTGCTCTCGTGCAGCCAGTTCAGGTTCGTCAGCTCCTCGTCCTCCACAGCGCCCTTCTCCTTGTTTATTTTGACGGCGGGTGGCGCGAAATCAAGGTCATCATCATCGTGCAGCGGGTTTGACAGCACGCTGCTTCTGTAGCTAGAGACGCTGATGCCCGTGCCTTCCGGCTTCTTGCTGGGGGGCATAACTGGACCCATTTAGGCGAAGAGCCCTGGAGAAAGAAAGAGAAGGAAAGATGGCATCAGCAGCGGAACAGAGAAATCATCACATTTTTATATCTTGGTGCACCTGCCAAGCTTATTGTAGAGGTGTATGGAGGCAGCGGCTTGGGCCTCCAAGCTTCAGTAACATGGACCTGTCATCACATCAAAAAAAAGTAACAAAAAGTAAATTAAAATGTCTGCCCCTAGTGGAAAAACAGGGAGGTAGGAGAGGGCGGAGTCAAGTTTGACTTTTACAGGTAAAGTCATGCCAATATTTTCCTATCCAATAACTGTTAGACTGTAGGTAACCAGCGGGGAGACAAAGGGATTCCTGCAGGATGGGGGGACTCTGGTGGGGTGATAAAGGGATGTCTACAGAATGGGGGGGCTCTGGTGGGGTGATAAAGGGATGCCTGAAGGATGGGGGGCTCTGGGGTGGGTGATAAGGGAAGCCCGCAAGATGGGGGGCTCTGGTGGGGATATAAAGATGGGGTGCTCTGGTAGGGATATATGCCTGCTGGATGAGGGGCTCTAGTGGGGTGATAAAGGGCACCTGAAGGATGGAGGTGCTCCAGTAGGGCAGTAAAGAGACACCTGTGGAACAGGGGGGCCCAGTTTGGGTGACAAAGACACCTTAGGGAAGGAGGTCTGAGCAGGAAATGGGGGGGGGGGGGGGTCTAGTGAGGTGATAAAGGGAAGCCTGCGGGGATAGGGGGTTTCAGCAGGGCAAAAAAAGAAAGCCTATGGGATTGGGGGCTCCATCGAAGTGAAAAAGTGACACCTGCAGAAAAGGAAGGGCAATAAAGGGAAGCCTGCAGGATGGGGGCTCCAGAAGAGCAATATAGGGGAAGCCCACAAGATAGGGGGCTTGGGTGGGGCGCTAAAAGATGCATGAGGAATGGGAGCTCCAGTGAGGTGATAAAGGGACACCTGCGTAACAGGGGCTCTGGTGGGGTAATTAAAGGAAGCCTGCGGAATGGAGGACTCCAGCGGGAAGATAAGGGACAACTGCAGGTTTGGGGGTTCTGGCGGGTCAGGAAAGGAGAACCTGTGGGATGGGGGGCTCTGGCGGGTCAAAGGGAGGCCTGTGGGATGGGGGGCTCTGGCTGGGTCAAAGGGAGGCCTGTGGGATGGGGGGCTCTGGCGGGTCAAAGGGAGGCCTGTGGGATGGGGGGCTCTGCCTGTGGGATGGGGGGCTCTGGCAGGTCAAAGGGAGGCCTGTGGGAAGGGGGGGGCTCTGGAGGGTCAAAGGCTGGCCTACAGGATGGGGGGGCTCTGGCGGGGTGATAAAGAGACACCAGAAGGATTGGGGGGGGCTCTGGCGGGTCAATAAAGGGAGGCCTCCGGGATGGGGGGCTCTGGTGGGATGATAAAGGGACACAGGCAGGATTGGGGAGGGGGACGGGGGGGCTCTAAGCTGATCAATAAAGGGGGCCTACGAGATGGGGGGCTCTGGCTGGGTGATAAAGGGACACTGGCAGGATTGGGGGGGGCTCTAGCTGGTCAATAAAGGAGGCCTACGGGATGGGGGACTCTGGCGGAGTGATTAAGGGACACCGGCAGGATTGGGGGGGGGCTCTGGCGGGTCAATAAAGGAGGCCTACCAGATGGGGGATTCTGGCGAGGTGATAAAGGGACACTGGCAGGATTGGGGGGGGGGCTCTGGCGGGTCAATAAAGGGAGGCCTACAGGACGGGGGGCTCTGGCGGGGTGATAAAGGGACACCAGCAGGATTGGGGGGGGGGGGGCTCTAGCTGGTCAATAAAGGAGGCCTACGGGTTGGGGGATTCTGGCGGGGTGATAAAGGGACACTGGCAGGATTGGGTGGGGCTCTGGCGGGTCAATAAAGGGAGGCCTACAGGATGGGGGGCTCTGGAGGAGTGATAAAGGGACACCGGCAGAATTGGGGTGACTCTGGCGGGTCAATAAAGGGACACCTGCGAGACGAGGGAGAGTTCAGTCGGGGCATTAAAAGGAAGGCCGGGGGGCGGTCTGGGTCCCGTGAGAAACTCCGCTGCGCCTAACGAGGGAAGTCGGAATCCCAGGAGCCTCTAAACAGGAAAATGATATCATGGCTGACAGTAAAGTCGTTTAATTGCTCTGTTGCCATGGCGACACGCTGCTCTCTTCAGTGTAATTTGTTTATCAGCCAGTTACCTCCCTGAGAGACGGACCGCCGCGCTGGCAGCGTCTCGGCTCCTTTTACTTTCATTCCGCCGCAGATATCCGACGAGCGCTCACTTCTCACTGCCGGGGACAAGGAGTGGGGCTCTACCAAAGGGGGAGGAGCCTAAACTGTCTAAGTCAACTCATGTGGTAAGATTCAGCCTTCTGTAGCATTCCTGACCCACAGAGCTCACAATCTAATCAGCAACAGGTACATATTTAATGTCCCATTTACTTTCAAGCAAACCCCACCCAAAGCTCACAGTTCATACTGGCTCCAATGTGATTGTACAATCTCTCTTTTAGCTCAGCATACACCTTACAATCTGACTGTATAATCTTCTTTAGGCCAACAACTATATAGCACAAGAGCCTGCCCGACTGGATACAGACTGAGTGGATAGATTAGGTTGGTCCTCATATTACAGTTTTGGTAAATCCAACGTGGATTGTATGATCTAAAAGCAACATGTATGCCGAGCCTAAGATTTTACAAAACTATGCAATGTGATCTTCTATGGAAACAATATGTAGCCAATCAGGAAAGCCCACTTACTACATATTTGTTGGTAGATCTAAAGGAGATTGTACAATCAGATTGTAAGGAATGACATCAGCTCAACGATTCTGGTAAGATATTTCTGGTGTCGCCCAACAGCCGCAGCGATTACGAAGCCAGACGAGGGTGTCACACACAGACACAGACACACGATTTTCCACAATGGATAATAAAGATCTGACAAATCCACCTATGGGAGACCCAAAAATACAATACAAACGAACGAGGTTGTTTCAATTTTCTTAGAACAATTCTGTATGAAAAGCCCTCATACCAAATATTGACACATCAACTGGTTACACATGTTGCAACCCAATTGTAAAATCGTCTTAAGCATCACTATAATGTTACAATGTAACCACACAATCTATGTACAATAAACTGAACATTTAAAATGTTACAAAACTCCGGACCCCGCATTCACTATATCCGCTCTCCCCTGACCCTGCATTCACTATATCCGGTCTCCCCGGACCCCCGCATTCACTATATCCGCTCTCCCGGACCCCGCATTCACTATATCTTGTCTCCCCGGACCCTGCATTCACTGTATCTGGTCTCCCCATACCCCGCATTCACTATATCTGGTCTCCCCGGACCCTGCATTCACTATATCTGGTCTCCCGGACCCTGCATTCACTATATCCGGTCTCCCGGACCCTGCATTCACTATATCTGGTCTCCCCATACCCTGCATTCACTATATCCGCTCTCCCCGGACCCCGCATTCACTATATCCGCTCTCCTTGGACCCGCATTCCCCGGACCCCGCATTCCCTATATCGGTCTCCCCGGACCCTGCATTCACTATATCTGGTCTCCCCATACCCTGCATTCACTATATCCGCTCTCCCCGGACCCCGCATTCACTATATCCGCTCTCCTTGGACCCCGCATTCCCCGGACCCCGCATTCCCTATATCCGCTCTCCCCGGACCCCGCATTCACTATATCCGCTCTCCCCGGACCCCGCATTCACTATATCCGCTCTCCCCGGACCCCGCATTCACTATATCCGGTCTCCCCGGACCCTGCATTCACTATATCCGGTCTCCCCGGACCCTGCATTCACTATATCTGGTCTCCTCAGACCCTGCATTCACTATATCTGGTCTCCCCGGACCCTGCATTCACTATATCTGCTCTCCCCGGACCCTGCATTCACTATATCTGCTCTCCCCGGACCCTGCATTCACTATATCTGGTCTCCCTGGACCCTGCATTCACTATATCCACTCCCCCGGACCCCGCATTCACTATATCTGCTCTCCCACAGTACACACAACATGGAAATGCAATTATTTTAGTAAATATAAACTGCTAAATATCTCCTCATCAGCAGTATAGAGCAGTCTTGTGACTTCTATCAGTGTCCAGCAGAGCACTGGTTAAAGCTTGTAGAAGGAGTTAACAATCAGAATGTATGGTGTGTGGTGAGCTTTTCTTTTACCTACCATGCAATGGGTTTTGCAGTCTGATTGACACAACAGTTATTTGCACCGATTGTACAATCAGATTGCAACATGCGCTGCCATTTTAAAGAAGCAGGTAGAAAAATTGTGCAATCAGATTGCAGCATGTGTGGTCTTGTGGAAGAAGCAGAGAGGCACATAGAAATGCCAAGATTCTTCGTACGATTCTTTCAAACCACTCAAAAACGACAAAATGCCAAGCAATCGTTCTACGGACATCGCCACTCCTGAACTGTCAGCGCGCTGCTGTTTCTGCACCGAATTGGCAGATGCCAGATCACATATTGAGAAAAATGGGCAGACGTGGCCAATCTCGTCAATGACAATCTGCGCTTCTTTTCTCCAATCGGATTGCTCCGGTGCGATTGGCGAGCCGCATATGGCGCAGGAAAGGCGCACACCCAGAGGGCGATTTCGTACAGAAAGTTGAGAAGAC